TCCTCCTCCTCCTCCTCCTCCTCTCCACAAACCCAACTCCCTCCTAGCCCTGATGATGTTACCTAGTTTGGGTCACGAAACGTCCGCAAGGAAACCGCCCAGCTCAAGGGAGCCCCCGGGACCCCTTCATTTCAACCCCTGAGCTACAAAGATTCTCCTTTATAGAGTGCCTGGTGCGGATCTTGCCATGTTGGGGCTCTGCGGTCTGGGTGACCTTGCTCATCTCAATTTCTCCTTCTCTCTTTCCCTCTTCCTCCTCCTCTTCCTCCTCCTCCTCCTCCTCCTCCTCCTCTCTCGTCCACCCTCCTCGTCGTCCCCCTGCAGTTTCTTAGCGAGGCTGGGCTGCTCCTCCTGTCTGGATTATTTCACGGCGCAAGGGCTGACCACCATCTATCAGATTGAGCACTACTCCATGGATGTAAGTAACCGACTCTCCCTTTCGTTGCCCCCCCCCGGGCGGAGGGGTGGGAGTGGCAGCCCCCGAACCTCCGAAACGGGGTGGCTGAGCCCTGCCGGCACTGCAGGTGCCCTCCGGAGGGGAGACCGGGCGGGTGGTGGACCAGAGCACCTGATGGCCATTCTCCCAAGCCTCCCCCCCCCTGCTTCTCCTCCTGAGCCCCTGCGCGTAGTTGTAGGGTCTTTTGCAAGATGTGGGCACTAAACGTGGAGTTTAGCCGGTCACGGGAAGTGCCCGCCGCTGTTTGCAGACACTGCAGTGACCGTCGGCAGCCGGCAGCCTTTCCTGCGCCCACCCACCCGTCCTTTTGTCCCTCTGCAATTGCTTGCTTGGCTGGGGTGCTCTGGGGCTCTTCTGGGGTTCAGCCTGGCCACACACACACACACACACACACACACTCAGCCTGGCGGTCTCTGCGTTTCCTCGCTGCCTCTGGCTGACCGTCTCTTGCTTGTGACCGGCCATCAGCGGGAGGGACGTCTTGACCAGTGTGCCAGGCAGACTCCAGAGCGGTCAGGATGGAGTTAGGGGTGGGGTGGGGGTGGGGGGTCCACTTCTGACCCCAGGAGGTTAATAGCGGAATTGTTCGTTGTGGAATTGTGGGTGGTTTTCCAGAACCGGATGGGGTAACCCTTGGATTGAGATGGTGTGAAGTCTTCTGCCTGAGCAGGGGGGGGTTAGACTAGAAGACCTCTGAGGTCCCTCCCAGCCCTTGGAGTCTGCGATTCTAAGAGCATGCATCAAAGTCCTGATGACCTTAGAACAGGGGAAGGCAACCTCGGCTCTTTTATGACTCGTGGACTTCAACTCCCAGAATTCCTGAGCCAGCGTGGGGGAACTATGGCCCCCCTCATGACTGGTGGACTTCAACTCCCAGAATTCCTCAGCCAGCGTGGGGGAACTAGGGCCCCCTCATGACTCACGGACTTCAACTCCCAGAATTCCTCAGCCAGCATGGGGGGAACTATGGCCCCTTCATGATTCGCGGATTTCAACTCCCAGAATTCCTGAGCCAGCCTGGCTCAGCTTGGAAACTCTCCCTTTCCCCTCAGCATGGCTGGCTCAGGAATTCTGGGAGTTGAAGTCCACGAGTCACAAAAGAGCCAAGGTGGCCCACCCCTGCCTTAGAACATAGAACGATAGGCTTGGAAAGGGACCACAGAGGTCTTCTAGTCCAGCCCCTTGAGAAGCATCGCGCAGAAGACCCCACACTATTCCAGACCAGTGGCTCTCCAGACCCGTCTTGAAAGCCTCCAGTGATGGAGCACCCACAACTTCTGGAGGCAACTTCTGTTCCCTGGATCGATATTAATCGATTAAAAAGTTGGGAAGGTATCCCGTTGAGCTCAACCGGCTTTCTGAACGGACAGTGGATCCAGTTGCTCTAAACAGGCCTCTCCTGCCTGCTCAATTATCAAAGGTTGATAATCCAAGACAGTCCAATATTTGGGGGACTCCCACAAAGAGGAGGAGGGGGTCCACCTATCCTCCAAAGCCCCTGAAGGCAGGACAAGAAGCAACAGATGGAAACTAACCAAGGAGAGAAGCAACCTGGAACTAAGGAGAAACTTCCTAACAGTGAGGACAATTAACCAGTGGAACAACCTGCCTCCAGAAATCATGGGTGCTCCATCCCTGGAGGTTTTTAAGAAGAGACTGGGCAGTCACCTGTCTGGCTTGGTATAGGTTCTCCTGCTTCAGCAGGGGGCTGGACTAGAAGACCTCCAAGGTCCCTTCCAGCTCTATTCTATTCTATTCCACCACCAACTCTGTTATTCTGTAATTAACCAGTGGAACTCCTTGCCTCCAGAAGTTGTGGGTGCTCCATCACTGGAGGCTTTTGAGAAGAGACTAGACAACCGTTTGTCTGGAATGGGATAGGGTTTCCTGCTCAAGCAGTGGGTTGGACTAGATGACCTCTGAGGTCCCTTCCAGCTCTGCAACAGGTAGTCCTCGAATTACAATCCAGAATTTCTGTTGCTAAACAAGACAGCCCTGTAGTGAGTTTTGCGCCATTTTACAACCTTTCTTACCGCAGTCGTTAAGTCAGGAACATGGTCGTTAAGTGAATCTGGCTTCCCCATTGAGTTTGGTTGTCAGGAGGTCGCCAAAGGGGATCACATGATTCCCTGGGGACGCTGCGACCGTCGTAATTATGAGTCGGTTGCCAAGCAGCCAAATTTTGATGCCCTGACCAGTGGGAGGCTGCAGTGGTCCTAAGTGTGAAAAACGGTCACGAGTCCCTTTTTTTCAGTGCTGTTGTAACTTCGAACGGTCATTAAATGAACTGTTGTAAATTGAGGGCTACCTATATTCTCTTGTTCTGTTAAGATCAAGCTGTTGCCAAAAGCAATGCAGGGGGGGGAGGAAGGGAAGGAGAAGGAAAAGAAGGAAGAGAGGGAGGAAGGAAAGGAAGGAAGGAAGGAAGGAAGGAAGGAAGGAGATGATGGAAGGAAAGAAGGGAATGAGAAGGAAGGAAGGAAGGAAGGAAGGAAGGAAGGAAGGAGATGGAAGAAGATGAAGAATAAAGGAGACGGGAGGAGATCAGAAGGAAGGAGTGTGAGAGGAATAAGGGAAGGAAGGAAGGAAGGAAGGAAGGAAGGAAGGAAGGAAGGAAGGAAGGAAGGAGATGATGGAAGGAAGGAGATGGAAGAAGATGAAGAATAAAGGAGTCGGGAGGAAATCAGAACGAAGGAGTGTGAGAGGAATAAGGGAAGGAAGGAAGGAGATGATGGAAGGAAGAAAGGAAAGATGATGGAAGGAAGGGAATGAGAAGGAAGGAAGGAGATGGAAGAAGATGAAGAATAAAGGAGATGGGAGGAGATGAGAAGAGGAAGGAAGGAGTGAGAGAAATAAGGGAAGGAAGGAAGGAAGGAAAGA